GGAGGCCAGAAGGAAATATCAGGCGCTGCAGACGTATCACCTCAACTGTACTTCTCACGATTTCAGCACTGCACCGCGTTTGCATGCCCTGTTAGTGGCATGTTCGACGGGGGGGGGGGGGGAGACCGGGTGTAAGCGCCCATTTTTTGTTGTGTATGGTTACAAACGTTTTGCACTCCCACCGTGATATCTTGCGTACGCCCCTGAGTGCTGTGTCACATGTGGCGTAAGGCATGACAATATCCTCACCATCACTAAGTTGAAAAATAATGCTTAAATAGCCTAAACCAAAAGAAAACCGCAAGTTCACTTATTCTGTTGAAACGTTACCGGGACCACGTGAGGTCGCGACATAAATATTCATCTGCGATACATCACTTATTGAAAACGCTTGTACGTTATACTGAAACGGCAAGGCAAGCGCATGTCCGACATTTGTACGCCACGGCACGGCACAGCACGGCATCACGGCAGGGCAAATTGATTCGTGATTGCCTGGCATTCCAACAGCCAAGCATACCATTTTAATGTGGATGCTTGAAATACGCTTTGAATAGCTGTCTTCAACTCGAAATACATGTTTCAGTGTATTAGCAGGGACCTAACACACAAGCTGCAATGCTTTCGACACATGTCCTAACATAGCGGATTCACGGCACGTAATCCTCCATGTGGCCACCATTCTGAACAGAACTTCAAGCGAAAACACAAACAATGCATTCATGAGCCACACGTAATAAAACCCAAGCGCAAAGAAACTGTCAACACCAGCTGGGACCTCCGCCAAGTGGTGCCGAAATGTCCGAACTAGATGTCATATCTCGTGCGACGAAGCTTCCAGAGGTTTCTGGGTTCGGAGCCATGACAAAAGGATCCGGAGCGCTGTATGGATGCCACCATCGGTGATGAAACAGGCCTTGATGGCCAGTTGACTCAATGAGCGTCGTGTCATTGGCGCTGTCTCCGGGCGGGTGCAGGGAATGGCGGCCCCAGCCCCAGCCCGTCCCGCACTGTCATGGACAGAAGCATACCACACACCGCCTTACAAGGCCCGATCATGGGCCCACTGCCGTACAAGGCGTGGGGTCGCAGAAGAGCATGGTGACAGGAGACTACCGACTCGCCCGACGGACTAGGGACCAGGCCTGGCCGAGGGTGGTAGAATGCGTTGCGAGACTCTCGCACACGGCAAGGCGTGCAGCGCGAATCGGCATTTTAACCGGCTGAAAATAGTTTCCGCCACGTCATGGCTTTGCCGGTTTAACACGCGCCCGGGTGGCCGGCTAGATATCCTTCGATCGGGTGGAGGTCAATTTGACCCCCATCAGATCTCGGAAACTAAGAAAGCTGAAGACACCAAATTTGCAGGGTGTGTTGACCTGTACATGAACTCACTTAGGTCAACGTTTGAGGTCACTAAGTCATGGCTTTCGGGCCAAATAAGGTCAAACAAGGTCAAATTTCAGGTTGGTCTCCAGTGTCCCCAGAACCTAGATAACTGTTTCTAAGCAAAAGTTCACAAGCTCATTTAAGGTCAGTGACCTTGCTTGACCTTTTGAAGGTCATGGTGACCAAAATCATACAAGACTGCCCTGAATTTTGCATTTGGGACATAAGCGATAGGGACAGAGGACAAAGCATAAGGGACAAAGATTACGCTTGGCAGTATATTCTTTTAAAAAATGTCGACCTGGGTCATCTTAGGTCCATGACGTATTATAAACTCTAAGAAGTCTACTGAAGATGCATGATGCGGTTCCTGCTATCAATAAATTCAAAATGAGCACCGGAAAATACCCCATACAGCAAGCCCTAGAGCAATAAAACAGGTTGGGTTCGACCTTGGTCTGACCTTCATACGTGACCTTAGGTCAACTTAATTTGCTCGTTCAATGCTTGTGTTGCCTAATAAGGCATCTCAAAGATGTATGGCTTCGTCAAACACTCCGTTGTTGCATCAGATTGAACGATTTCCTAGAAATTGACTTTGCTCAAACCATCGCCTGACTGGCCTGCCATAGGTCAGTGACCTTACAAGGTACAGCTGAACGTCTTACACCAGTCGATCCGCTATTCATTATGAACGGCCAGGGAACGTTTGGCGCGGCTACGCCGCGCCGTTCGGAAACCATTCTGGAAAAACCTTCGGGGGGCAATTTGACCCCGCACCAGAGCGCGTGTTAAACCAGCTTTAACTGGCAGAAACTCAACTTTGGCCATTTAAATATTGTGACGCGATACCGTAGCCACAATGCTTTCTTTTAAGGCCAAGTATCGAAAAACAAAACAAAACAAAAACAGGTAACTGATACGACGAAATGATCCAAAGTGTGGTGATGCTGCTATGTTTTGAACGCCAATCAGTATCTAAGCGTGTGTTCTGGAGTTCATCAAGGCTTGTGGTATACATAAATGCTCCTCCTATAACCCGCTGTAGTGCGCTGCCACTCAGAGGCATGGGTGCATTATCGATACTTTATATATATATATATATATATATATATATATATATATATATATATATATATATATATATATGGTGCGTCATTTCACGCCGTAGCCATGTCAGATTAATTCGTACCTCCGTCAAGAGATGACCGACGTTTTTGATTTATTTGCGATTTTTTATTATTTTTATTTGCGATTATATTGCGATTATAACGATTTATAATGAAATAAAGCCTTAATTAAAAAGCAGATGCAGTTCGTGTTTCCTTAAGGAAACATCCGTTTCAGTTCATATTTACCTAATGTGGGCTACGCGAGAGGCAAATCATATATATTTTCAGCAGGCATATCAATGAAAAACTCCACATCTTGGGACACACGTCTTTACCTCCAGTTTTTGGTCGGCAGTGCCTGCTGGCATGCTCCCGCCTGACAGCCCAATCATGGCAACAAAAGGGTGTCTGTGACAGTGGCCTGTGGTCCGCGTACCAGCCCACAGTGGGAATTCAAGCATTAACATGACGCCACTTTCACATTTCGATTGGTTCCCTAACGGAATGACTGATGCACTGTACCCTGGCTCTAATATATGATATGTACTTGTCAATCTTTTGAAAGAAATCCTGAACAGTTGGATTACTATGGGTCTGAACAGTACGAGTACTGTGGTAAGGTCTGCTTGGTTACACGTGCTGACAATGTTTTCATTAAAAATGCCGTGACAACGCCACAGATGACATTTGGCACATCCATCCACAAGAAACTCAACGCACTGAATGGATGTAGCACACAGCTTCTAAGCTTGGGCACATGATATAGCACGTCGGTTATGCTTTGTGTGAGTGATACCTTACAAGTTCCTAAACCTGATGTCAAACTACTCAGAAATTTCTGGTGTTCATTTCCCGAAAAATTTCCTGACGAGTGGGTCAGCCATTATAACTTACGCAATCATAAGCATTGAAAACTCATTGCCATGCATTGCCAAACATTAACCTCTAATGCACTTTGGCGGACCCCTTACAAAATACTTAGCCCAAGACATTCTTTTTGCAACTACCCATCAACTCCACCGTGGAGAACCTTTCAACGTGATGAATCATGCTAATGAAGTTCAAGAAAATACAGCCCTGCCAACATTAACATCGTTATAGTTTGCCCCAGTGCTTTGAAACACATTCTACTATATTTGAATTCTGCCAATTTCTGTCCGTCTTTGCCACTAGTAAGCTGTGCCAGCCGGTTCTAACCGCGTAAGACCGGTCGGCAGACTCTGCTTCAGCCGGGCGTCGCCAGCCGTGCTGCAGTGTGACCGATGGTGGCCAGAGGACGGAAGCCTGGGGCGGTGCTGGGTCGGGGTGGGCGGCCTCCCACACGCGCACTCTCATCAGCCGCCGTCCGACGCTACACCTGAGCTGCACGTGACAGCGTGCTCAGGTAACGGACATGGGTAGAAGAGGAGGGGGAGGGGCAGAGACCTGCTGTGTCACCGTGTGTGACACGGCAGTGTGCGGAGAGACTGATCCCGTCTCAGCTGACTACGAACAACATGTCACCGGCGGGGGCGTCATTGATAAACACGAACAATGGAGAGCCGTGACAAACAGAACGCCAACGTCAATGCTACGAAGCGGCGCCAAGGAAAAGCATACAAGTCCTCTTATGACTGCGTGAGCCATCACCAAACGCGACCTCAGACCGCGCTCGTGACAAAACTACGCCGCCGTGGAATTGGCCATACCTTACCAGCATCGCCAACTCCAACTGGCTACCAAAACGCATGATGTAATGGCTAGTATGGCACGGGAAGGGGCCTGGGCATGGATGCCGACAGGTCGGGTCGCAGCACACCGTTGCGGAAAACGCATTTCGGCCACTCGGACATGCTCTCAGTCCCTCCCTCTCCGCGCTTGGCATAGTGACAGTTTGTTGGTTTCCGAAACTCAGTGGACGCCTCACTGGATCGCGAGTTCGCGGAATAGGAAGAGTCCGGAGTGACTAGCCTCGTGTGTTTACACTGGCAGACGGCGTTGTGAAGTCACGCCAAATGATAACATATTCCAGCCATGGTACCGACTACGCAGGAACCTACCTACTGAAACAGTTCGAGAGAAGCCAGCGGCTAGCCTAGCCTGGCCAGCCCCTGAGTATGCAGGGCAGGGCTCAGAACAGTATGAGTGTCGACGCCACAGAGACTTATCGAGCTGCTTACAACACTCCACCATCACGATATCGGCATTGCCGACATAGAAATGTCGATAATCTCCAGCAGTTCCCAGCTGGACACACCCATCACGTATTCTCGCCATTCCCACGAGATTGCAGACCTATTTGACAGAATAAATTTCTGCATTTTTTAGGCTACGGTGCCTCAGCTGGGGAACGGGCACATTGGAACAATACCACGTTAATCCCTGATTCGCTGAGTGACTGCCTTCATTACTTCATGACGCGTATGACCGCACGACCTAGAAGCGTATAGAGCCACTATGAGTGGGCGAGGACGGCACTTCTACGCAGCCGGCGGGCGGCCGCCCGCGAACGGAACTGACCTGTGAACTGTGCCTCCCACTCCCTGACCGACTCCATCTGCATGGGCGTCAGGTCGCTGAGATCGTCGTGGTTATCGCCGCCCTCCACCGAGAATGTGGCCAGGCCACGCGAGGCGTCCTTGCCGGCGAACGCCGCGTACGGCCCGCCTGGCGACGAGGCAGGTGTCAGACACGACAGGTGTCGGACACGGCAGGTGTCAGACACGGCAGGTGTCAGACACCGCAGGTATCAGACACGGCAGGTGTCAGGCACGGCAGGTGTCAGACACGGCAGGTGTCGGACACGGCAGGTATCAGACACGACAGGTGTCGGACACGGCAGGCGTTAGACACGGCCGGTGTCAGACACCGCAGGTATGAAACACGGCAGGTGTCAGACACCGCAGGTATAAGACACGGCAGGTGTAATACACGGCAGGTGTCGGGCACGCCAGCTATCAGTCCCAGCCGGTGTCAAGCACGGCAGGTGTCAGACACGGTTACAGTCCGGGCTTCGGTCGGTCCACGTGATGACACGGCTAAAGTCAGGACTACCGGTCGGTCCACACGGTGACACGGATAAAGACAGGACTACCGGTCGGTCCACACGGTGACACAGCTAAAGACAGGACTACCGGTCGGTCCACACGGTGACAGGGCTAAAGTCACGACTACCGGTCGGTCCACACGGTGACACGGCTAAAGCCAGGGCTACCGGTCGGTCCACAGGGTGACACGGCTAAAGTCAGATCTACCGGTCGGTCCACACGGTGACACGGCTAAAGCCAGGGCTACCGGTCAGTCCGCACGGTGACACGGCTAAAGCCAGGGCTACCGGTCGGTCCACACGGTGACACGGCTGAAGCCAGGGCTACCGGTCAGTCCGCACGGTGACACGGCTAAAGCCAGAGTTACCGGTCGGTCCCCACGGTGGCACGGCTTAAGCCAGGGCTACCGGTCGGTCCACACGGTGACGCTGAGAGCCATGATTAAAATACAGCCAGTCACGCTGGTCTGGCGGTATGGCGGCGTGGTCCGCGTCCGCTACAGATACGGAATCACGACACGACGACGCACCTCACAACACGGCGGCTTCTGACTACATTCGCTCTCCTTGCGAACTGGCCATGGCCAGAGCAAGTCTGGGCTTGGCGAAACAAGGGAATGTGGCCTGACACCTGAGGGTAATACATATCATACTACCCATGGTTAAGAACTGAAATGGCAACAACGTATCACGCATACAATTGTACACAAATATGCTCAGACATAATCAACGACAAGGTCAAAATAAACAAGCATGCCCCCCCCCCCCCCACCCTACTTTTGACCGCCGACTGTCGAGGTGGCTGAGAGCGGTTGGGAGAAGCGGCACAGGCGCGGCCTCGACAGCTCGTCGCTGGGGTCTGAAGGCGCATGCTAGCCAACACCTGTCACCACCCAAGCCCACTGCAGGCCGAGGGACCAGTCCCGCACGGTACCACGGTACCACGTGAGTGGGGCTATCGCGACTATCCCGCACTCACGCCCCCACGGTACCCCGCGGCTATCCCGCACTCACGCCCCGACGGTACCCGCGGCTATCCCGCACTCACCCCCTGCACAGTACCCCCGCGGCTATCCGCACTCACGCCCCGCACGGTACCACCGCGGCTACAACGCACTCGCACATTGCACTACCACCACGGCTATCCGCACTTGCGCCCAGCACGGTACCACCACGGCTATTCCGCACTTGCGCCCAGCACGGTACCACCACGGCCATCCCGCACTTGCGCCCAGCACGGTACCACCGCGGCTACCCCGCACTGACGCCCCGCACGGCACCACCGCGGCTACTCCGCACTCACGCTCCGCACATTACCCCCGCGGCTATCCCACACCGTGCCCAACAATGCCAGATCACACACGACACATCCGTACCTAAAGCTCCGCCACCAGAGCCATGGAGGCGGAACAGACATCGCACGCACCACCACACCAAAGCAGCAGCTTACTTCCGATCAATCACTGACGGGTCTTTTTTGCCCAGCGAACGGAGGACCCCGCGGCAGGACTCAAATAGTTTGGCCGTGTTCCGGCCAGTCATTTCCAATGTTATCTCACATAGCAGGGCTGAACACATCGATACGTGTCCGGTCGGAACAGTGCTCCCAGCTCCACTGCTTCATTGTGCGCTCGGCTCCCACAGCGGAAACAGTCCGCAATCAAATGCCACCTGTGCCTGTCGAGTTCCACTGATTCAAAGCTCCGACTTCGATAAAACGCGGCGCAAGCCACTGATTTCCTCTGCATTCAAGCCAAGGTCAGAAACAACAGCGCAGTTAGCCGGATCGGTTCACACTGCCGCGCGGCGCTCGGCGGTACCGCCCCCCCCCCCCCCCCGCCCGTGGCGCGGCCTCTCGCTGTAGATGAATCAGAAGGGCTGCGATTTGCCACGTTTGCTGCCTCAGGCATCCCACGCGCGCCGGCCGGGCCGCCCACCCCGTCACCCCACGCGCACTGGCCGGACCGGCCATATCCGCACCCCACACATCCCGACAGAACCGGGCCGCCCACGCCGTCACCCCCACGCACCCCCGACCGAACCGGGCGGCCCAGCCCGCCATCCCGCGCGCGCTGGCCGAACCGGGCCGCCCAGCCCGCCACCCCGCGCGCGCCGGCCGGCCACTCGCCCCGGTCGCCTGCCCCCCAGGCTCGGACCGAGCGCGTCAACAGGCCGGATTGACAGCCCGACACGCCATGCTGACGAGAGGACAGCCGCGCCGACTCGGTGCCTGGCGGAGCGGGCCGGGCACGACACGGAAATGCAACATCGGGCCGCGCCATGCCTCCCCGCCAGGTAAGACGCCCGTCGGCACACCCAGGCTCCTGCAAACGACCCATGCGCTCATCCTGTGACAGACTGGGTATGTGCCGTGTCACCTGGCACGACGCCACACGCGGTCCATAAGCCAGTCAGGGGCCTGGCCGCCTAACTGGAATCTTATTCACGACGTAATCAAGCCTCACCGGGTCCGTAGAACCTCTTTCCCTTGGTGACGTCGAAGACTTTGTAATTGACGGCCACCAGGACCCTGCCGTCACAGCGCTCGTCGCCGCAGTAGAATTTGAGCTGCTCCAGCGTGAAGTCCTGCTTCTTCAGAGGAGGGAGCTCGGGCTCCCGGGGCGGCGGCGGCGCGTTCTCCTCTTTGTGCCTCACCCACATTTTGTACATGATGTAAAGGCACGCGGAGATGAGCAGGAGGTTTACGGGACTCTTGAACTCATCCAACAACGCGTTCCACATTCCACCGCCTTCCGACGACATTTTGAGTTGCCTGGGCTGTACTAATCCAGATCACTTGTCACGAGGTCTCTGAAATGGAGGAAAAGATGGTAGCGGCGAAGGTGATAATGATCAATAACGGGTTAATGCACAAACATCTCACCATGCGCGCAGTTCGCACCATAAAAGGCGTACCATTCAGCTATGTCCCCCGACCGGCAAAACATAGGGTGTCTGTTTGTAAAGCGCGAATCAACATCCTGACTCTTTCCATGGTAAGCCATCCTGGTTCCTCTGCCGATCCAGCGTTGACTCTCGAATAAGGGCGTCCCGCAATATCAAGACTCTCGACTGCGTCCCGCACCGGAGCCTGCTGTGATGAACCCAGACTATGATGGCCAGAGTTTATCATGGAGCATATCGCTCACGGAGCTACACCAGCTTAGTCCGTCCCGTCCACGGCACTACACCAGCTAATGATTGTCCTTCCAAGGCGCAGCAGCAGCTACAGCACGTCTCGCCCACGGAGCTACACCAGCTGTCCGTTCGCCAGTGCTACAGCAGCTGCTGCCCGTCCCGTTCCACGGCTCTACACCAGTTACTGTACGTCCCGTTCGCAGCGCTCCAGCAGCTGCTGCCCGTCCCGTCCACGGCTCTACACCAGTTACTGTACGTCCCATCCGCGGCGCTACAGCAGCTGCTGCCCGTCCCGTTCGCAGCGCTACAGCAGCTGCTGCCCGTCCCGTCCACGGCTCCTACACCAGTTACTGTACGTCCCGTTCGCAGCGCTACAGCCAGCTGCTGCCCGTCCCGTCCACGGCTCTACACCAGTTACTGTACGTCCCGTTCGCAGCGCTACAGCAGCTGCTGCCCGTCCCGTCCACGGCTCTACACCAGTTACTGTACGTTCCCGTTCGCAGCGCTCCAGCAGCTGCTGCCCGTCCCGTCCACGGCTCTACACCAGTTAATGTACGTCCCATCCGCGGCCGCTACAGCAGCTGCTGCCCGTCCCCGTTTCGCAGCGCTACAGCAGCTGCTGCCGTCCCGTCCACGGCTCTACACCAGTTACTGTACGTCCCGTTCGCAGCGCTCCAGCAGCTGCTGCCCGTCCCGTCCACGGCTCTAACACCAGTTACTGTACGTCCCGTCCGCGGCGCTACAGCAGGTAACGCCCGTCCCGTCCACGGCGTCACAGCAGGCAACGCCCGTTCTGTTCCTCCATTGGATAGAGCGCCTGCATTCCAATCCGCCCACCCGTGGCGGAATGGGGTTCGAGTCGCTTTAATTGCGTTCACTTTTTGCCCCTGAAAATATGGTCAGCAGCCGGTGGCAGCTGCTGCGCTAAAGGTCAAACGACGTCCGAGTGCAGGGCGGACTAAGCCGGAAAGTGCAGCACGTTAAACTTTCGCCGCCGAATCTGGCACTGACTCGATATTACACGATCGGATGGTACGGGTCAGGGCTCAGACAACAAGCAAGGCTTACGGTAAGCTCTGATCCTCGAAATCCATTCACGCAAAAGGCCTGGAGTAGATCGCTAAAAAATGCCATGGCATGTTTCGCTTGGCGTCATCCTGAACATACGACAAAGCCGTTACTTGCATTATGCGCAGGACAAACGGTCCAGAATCCGGGCATTTGGGCCAGGTCATCTGCTGCGGCCGGGTCACATGTTGCACGCGCTTAGGGCATTGGGCAGAACGACTGCTGGCAGGTGTCCAGCGCGATCCATTACGGAAACGTTCTGGGTCCAACTCTGTCAACTTGTTTACCCACAACATTTCAAAGCGTGTTTTCTATGTAGTCTTGTATTTGGCTATGACAGATGGAGATAAAAGACCGTCTCGATGTCAGGCGCCGAAAGGCGGGCTTTTGGAACCAATTGTTGGTGTCACCAACGGGGCATAATGGAAAGCAGCAATTCGGATGGAGCAATAATTTGAGTTATTAGTTAGGGTTTCTCTGCACGGAGAGGAAAAGGGGCGGAGAGGGAGGGTGAATTCCAGGCCCATTACTCACAATTCACCACACAAGCAGATAGTTCACGTCAAACAGCATTTTTTCATCAGCCGTCGAGCCATAACGGGTCACATGGTGTGCTTGGATCACATGTGCAATATCTTCCACCGGTACAACGGCATCGCGCTAACACCAGCACAATAACCATTTGCTGGCAGAACGCGCAAAAGAAGGGCTCGTACCGGCCCTGATACTGGAGTTGTAGGCAGTCAACACCGGTCTATATTTCCCAGTACTGCCGCAGCCTCGGCACCACCATCCAAAGCAGACCTCCAATATGGCCGGCGCTGCATCAGCACCAGGGACAGTACCACGGCACCCCAATCTTGCAGCTCCGGTGGACGTGTTTTCTGGCACTACGACCACCCACGTCACGCGGACCGTCAGGTCGGCTGCCAGCTGGCCTCTCTCTCCATTGGCCGGGTCAAACAAGGCGCAGCTTCCGGGATTCGGGGCCAGTGCCGCGGGAATACGAGGTCAGCGTCTCGTCCCCCGTAGCGGTCAAGTTCGCCCCAATACTGGGCCAGCGCGGTACCAGGAACTCCATTCCGGGATCACGTGCCGGCGGTGATAGGCATTTCGCACGCCGTTTGTTTGTTCCAATCAATTGCCTTGTCTTGATGTGACGCCTCAACGCCGGAATGCACCACATAATAGGAAGGCCGTTTTTACACCGTATGCCAAAATATCGTTAACATTGGACCAATACGGAGTCAAAACATGCTGCAAATAAGATCGACACTGAGCCACACACTGTGCATGCAAACTGTGGCAGGCGACTGGAGAGGAAACTGTTGGAGCAGGATCAATTATATTCCGAATGGGTCGGCACCTCGTCTATTTTCGGGTAGCTTTACTGAACCTCTCCCACCAGTGTGCATGGAATGTCTCCAAATGAAATGAGCCCATGCGACCCTGAGATATTTTTCAAACTTTTGTCAGCTTTCAAGCAGCCCAAAAATGTGACCCTAACCCCACTTGCCCTTTGTGAGGTGTTGCATGAGGCCAGCATGCACAATGTGCCCAGTGAACATCACATTTTTGACTTGGTTGAATGTGACTGAGGTATGCCACAATGCTGAAATAGGCATTCAGATACAGTCATCATCCCTCTTGTCCCTTTATCATTTAGCTGGTATTGCTGGCCCTAGCTTTGCTGGCATCTTCCATGAGGGCATCATAAGGTCATGCTGCCATTCCATCCTCACTTGGCATGCAACAATCCAGGTTGTCTGACAGCTGCCAGTTCCCATGTCTGATGCAATCATGAAAATGCATGTATTTCTAACCCTTGTTCAATCAGACAATGTTATAATCTGATGAACCATTTTTACCACAATTAATTGTGCTGTTTCCAGGCATTTCTGGTCCACTTTAATGGTACATCCCTGCATGATCTTCCCACATCCTGGAATGGCTGGAACATTTGTTTAACATACATAGCATAATCAAATTGTTTATTTGTTGCCTCTAGGATACAGTGGTTAGCTGGTGCCTAGCAAGGACACTGATCATAACACAGGTTGGGGAAGTAATATGTGCAACTCTGATGTGGGGAAATGATCATGGTGGAAATGGTGAATGGTGGTCAGTGGTGATGGCATGATATATCACCATGATCTGGCAAATGGTTCTCAATATAATTTTCTTAGAAGTAGGCATGGTAGTCTCAGAATCATCTGGCCAACACTTGTTTGATGCTGGCATCAATCACGTAGTGGATGACATACTTAGGCAATCTGAAGGGTTTCAAAGTTAAAAGTCCCTGACTGCAGGGATCAATCAACCAGTCAATCACCTCCATACCTCCTAATGGCATTTCACCACATATTCAGAGCATCTCTGGTAGCTTCCCTTATTGCTTATCTATAAGTGTAAGCTTGCCTACAAAGCAATTTGTCAATTGTTGCCTTCCCCTAGTTGCTGCCTTCACAGATGTCCTCAGTGATTAAATGTTATGTAATATTTCTTATCTAAATCAAATCCCATTCAAATTCTACTACAGCTGTTGTGCAACCTGGTTTGCATGTATTCAGCAGGGCCTAAGTCTGTTTTTATTACTAAATAATACAAGCTCATGTTGAAAGTATATTTTACAGCTTGTGGTGAGCTGTCCTGCTCCTTCATGTGTAAGGGCAGCCTGACCTGGCCCAGGCTGTCAAAAAAAGAAGAGGTACATATTGCAAAACAGTCCATTTTCTTAAATACAATATCTTCTGAGCATGACATTCCTTACTCTTGAGAGCTGAAAGGTTGAGCACATCACTCAGCAAGTCCTTAAATTTTGATCTAGAAGCAAAAGTGGCTGCTTCTCTCAAGTGTTGTAGGCAAGGCTATCTAACATTGCATCATCTAGGTTGTGGGTGCCCTTTTTCCCAGTCTAGGGACACCAGCACATTGCCAAGTAGCTCATAATTTATGTGGGTTAGTCACCACAGACCACAAATCTTTGGTGCTGAGTACTAGGCCAGAATATACCAGATGGAATGGGGGGGGGGGGGAGCATTTGGGTGCCTCAACTGCAAAGTCATATGGACAAAGCATACCAATGTTGCAGTTGCAAATAATGTGGTTTCTGATGATGCCTTAGATAATGTGGTTGAAGATGCAGTTGGCTGAGACAACACCCAAAATATTGAGAATTTCTCCTTTTCCTTATCTAGTAGGCATAGATATGTGTTAGAATAGCAAACATTCACACAGTATTAATAAACAAGTGTGAGAGGGGATTAGATGCAGCACAGAGTTTATTATACCTGGTTGATTCATTGGATGCCAAGGTCTCCCATGGGCTTTAATAACTGTTAAGGAAAAGTACAAGTAACATCTGTTTTCTTTAAGGCAGATGCTCCATTTCTATGGAAGATTTTTTCTCTACAGGGATAGTCATTCTTTTTCACAGAACATCTTTCTTGGCTCTTAAATGCTGCCTTAAAGATCACTAGGCATGTCACAGTACATGAAACCTACCAATATACTTATGTGGTCCTGATAAAAGTAAACTAGAGTCCAGATGGTAAAAAATGCACCTTAGGCTGTACATGCTTGGTACGCCATACCATATCAGGTATGGTGGCAGGATCACAGCAGCGATTTTAACTCATGTATCCCATAAATCTGGGCACTCAGAGTTCAGAGCATGGCCAATGCTGATTTTGGCACATGATGAGCCCATGTGTCAAAGAGTTAACACGTTGGAAAGGCAATTTTATGCAAATAAACTTCAAAAATATTTTTGATGCTAAAATTAAGGAATGCAGGGCAAGTTGGAGTGGTGTGAGTCCAACACATGCAAGCATGGGTTTCAGCACGCAGTTAAATAGGCATTTAGGTCAATGGATGAGACCATATTTGATGTGCCGGGATTAAAGTTTGTATACACACAATGGCCAACTAAATTCCATATGAAAGAAGGTATGCTGAGGTTAAAGCAGTACGGTCTTTGCACTTAGGGAAATAACGCCAATCACTACTATAAGATCAGCAAATCCGCACCTTTTCTCACCGCGAACAGCCCCTCTCACACAATATCTCGACGCCAGAAGCGCGGACGGCGGCTCGCACCCAACCCACAGCCAACCTCGCAACAATTTGGTTAAATTTGCTCGGTTTGGTACATATTTTGATCAACACTGCTCGTCCAAGGATGTGTCGAATGCCTAAAACTGCCGACCGTGCAGCTCGTGAACCGTTGTAAATATGTAATGTGGTACAGCATTTTTTTATATTCTAGTGAACTATCATTTTAATTTGTTGTTTTGTAGTTAAAGCCCTTGTAAAATTCTTTGAACTATATTTATATGCATAAGATTGGTATATTACGTCACCATAAGGATTCCATTGCTCCTAAGTCATGAGATATCGGCTATGCGTGCACGGGTAACCTAGCAGCACTAATACCAACTAATGCTTTATCCTATGACCGGTAGATGAGGTCCTTTAAAACAGAATCGTGAAAAGGCAAGGCAAAAACATGCAAAAGTGTGATCATCAATTACGTGATATACGCATATGGGTGACTTTTAATTTTCTCTCGCAATATTAAGAGTTGAAGATGGATATTAGCCACTAATTGCAAGTTTCAAAACCGATTTGTATGAGTCCCTTCCAGTTTTACCAACTCTAATAACAATACGTCAATCTAGCGCTATAGCTACAAACACTGCGCATCGCTGGTGTTATCACAGGGTGCTATATGCTATGCGCCCTAAACCAACAACAACAACAAGGGGTGCTATCGCCCTAAACCAACAACAACAAGGGGTGCTATCGTCGCTGCCGTGCTACCCTGCGCTAAAACAATCGCGTTTGCGGCCGGTGTGCAAACTATTCTGAAGACAGGTGAGTGTATTTGAGATCCGATCATCGATCTGCACGCGACATTCAAATAGATCGTTTTGTCCTGAAGACATGCCCTGACTATTGCTGGCCTATAGGCCTACCCAATAAATAGCTGCATGATGACCATTGTCTACGTAGGTAACCTTTGTGCGAGCCTGCGAAAGATCCATCTACTGATCTTGAGGCATTCAAGAGTTTCATGCATTAAACCTCACACCTGCATGTGTTAAATTCAGGCCAGCCCAAATGATGCTGAGTTTTGTGGATATTTTGGTGTGAAAAATGCCATGGCTGGCGGAAGTGGGTGGCCCCTAGATGGGGCTGCATAAGGAATGAGTAAAATTGACAGATGTTAGCCAGTGAACTTGGGCATAAGTATGCGGAATGCAGATTGGGATCATATCTTTCCCATGCATTCCATGATGCAGTGAGTGAAGCCTTAGCTACATGATAGTTGTTGTTATCATGGAGTGGCAAACTCATCTGGGACTATTTTTCACTTCTGATGTGATAATCTGGCACCATGCTCATACAGCACAGTTTAGCTGTGCACAACCCAGGCTGAGATGGCTCCTCACCACAGGTGTGTGGGCTCACATTATGGGGGGGCTATAGAGCTCTCGAGCCTATCTACATATGTGAAAAGGTAGCCCAAGACTTATGCATTACTTGGAACAATGTGAGTAAATTCCAAATCTTGGTCAGCTGAGCAATCTTTAGAGCTAAATGAAAATTAGGTTATGAGCAAATTAAAACAAATTAGAGAGTTGGATACATTCTTATGCAGTTAAGCCCAAGTCTGTATACCTGGTCAAGCCACAAAGTTTTGAGATTGACAACCCACAGTGGAGTCTCTCACATTTATTTTTTTACTTAGTATGTTAGTGTAAAGTTTTCTGGCCTGTTGTTTCTGGGGGTGCTGTTTGGATCTATTTCCTCAGGTTGTTTGATGTTGTGGCTATTTGGGTTCATCCTACAATATGTTGGTAGACCAGGGCCCCAACCCTGGTCCTTTTTGTTGTAAGCTTACAAGTGTCAAATCAAAATGACCTACATATATGACCAATAAGTCTAAATAGCTGTCCCATGCTACAAACTGATAACTTGCTCAAGCTATGATATTGCCTTGGGTTATGTGACATAAAATGGCAGAAATGTGTTATGGAGAACCTACCCTTGACCTGACATGGTCATCTCACCCAGTGTCTATGAATGATTTTATATGTTTCTGAGGCAAAAAAATATGATATTTACTTTCATTTCAGAAGCAGAGCTCCACGACCATTACTGGGCTCATGAGAGGTCCCAAAGTCCGTATAGAGATTTTGAGAGAAACAATCATTCATGTGAAATATGGTGTCAGCAGCATATAACTGTCAAGGTCATATGCTGTAAGTTGCTATGGCTAGAGCCATGAACTACCAGCAAAATATTTCCAAGATGTTGGCTAGGTGTTGGTGTAATTAGTGCAAAAAAGCAATTATCAACCCTCTAGTTAGTCATGGTAGACATGTGTCCTAGGCAATACCAGGTTATGATGATTGTCAACATCAAACAACCAACATTATTAGCCACCCAACACAGATGACCCCTGGGATGTATTCTACAGGGGATAATTCTTTCGTCTTGTTTTTTCAGACAAGCCAATACCAGGATGGAGGGTCTTGAGAAGTACAGGATCGAAGAAGTAAGTCGTGTCACTGTCACAGAGTATGCACAGGGCAACCTGTGATATAAAATGCAACCTTTTCATCCGTGCAAGTCACGGAGGTTTGTCGTATCATAATTAGAATTCATCAGTTTTCATTGTCGTCACATTCGCAACTTATATCAGACTGAAAGGAATCTTTGACCATACTCCTACGAAAATACAGTGACTACGCCTCGTCTCCTTCTTGTGGAGCACACTTAAAGCGAGGGCATTTATGGTAGTTGACGGTTGAAAAATCTGCGATTTATTGACTTACACTTTGTGTTTACGGACATTGTCATGTGATGCTGATTCCACAAGGCCCTGCCGCCGCCAGCGAGTCCGCCCGGCAGTGCTGCAGCGCCGCCGCCCGACGCATGCGATGTGTCCCCAGGCGCCCGACGTGGTGCACTACGTGCCCGAGTTCGTGTCGCCGGCCGAGGAGAGCCGCCTGCTGGAGCACGTGTACGCGGCGCCGCGGCCGCGCTGGACCCAGCTGGCGCACCGGCGCCTCCAGAACTGGGGCGGCCTGCCGCACCCTCGCGGCATGCTGCCAGAGCCCATCCCCCAGGTGGGCGCCGCGTCTTGGAGCGGTGCCCCCTCCTTCCCCCGGTGGCGGCCGCTCACTGCCGGTGTTCACCACCAGCTGCCGTCTCACCACCTCAGCTCTGTTTTGATGCAACAACTGAGAACCGTGAAATGATCGCTTCATGATAAGACATTTGTGGGCGTGTCTATTGGAATTGTGTCATTTTTCCGTTCGGCACAGTTTTCGGGAAGTGGGTAGTGAGTTGTGCGGTACGTCCTGGGCCCAAAATAGTTCGTTGTCAAATATGCTCAGTACAGATGTTGTTTACCTGACGCCACATGGCAACTTTACGGTGGCGTAGCCGTTTCCCCCTCCTACCACCGCCTCCCTCCCCCCCCCCCCTCGTGAGGGTAAGGCCGGGCCGTGCCGTCGGCAGTGGCTGCGGCTAACCATGGAGCGGATCGGCGCTCTGGGCTGCTTCGGCGAGCACCGTCCGAACCACGTGCTGGTGAACGAGTACACGGCCGGCCAGGGCATCATGCCGCACACGGACGGCCCGCTCTTCACGCCCGTCATCACCACCGTATCGCTCGGCTCGCACGCGCTGCTCGACTTGTACCGGCCGCGTCGTGACGCACAGGTACGCTGCCCGACCTGTACCGGCCGCGGCGTGACGCACAGGTATGCCGCTCGACCTGTACCGGCCGCGGCGCGACGCACAGGTATGCCGCTCGACCTGTACCGGCCGCGGCGTGACGCACAGGTGCGCTGCTCGACCTGTACCGGCCGCGGCGCGACGCACAGGTATGCTGCTCGACCTGTACCGGCCGCGGCACGACATACAAGTACGCCGCTCGACCTGTACCGGCCGCGGCGCGACGCACAGGTACGCCGCTCGACCTGTACCGGCCGTGGCGCTACGCACAGGACGCCGCGCTCCCAGCCCCGGCCAGGCGAGCGTCGCTCCCGCCGCGGCAGGGCATGTTGTCGCTCCTGGCCACACTTTCACGCGGTCGGCCAGATACGTGCTAAATTTGAAGCGTGTTATGTATTTGCACCATTACGTGTTTGCACTATTTGCACAGGTGCGCTAGGTGCGCTATTCGCATAGTCAATCTCCAATCAATTTAAGTCTTATTCATGAAGTGTCACGGGGGTGCCACCTTTTGAAGCCATCACTGAAATATGCCGCACGTGATTTGAAATCACTGCGGCAGCAAAGGCCAGGTTTGGCACAGGATGCATGGAACTTATCGCGTACGACAGAACACCGGCTGATTCGCAAACTTACGTCAGTGCAAGATAGACGCACATAATTTCAAACGATGTTTTTGTCCCGAGCTGCACCAGTGGCCCTGTTGTAGTAGCGGCCAACAGGGCTGGAACGGCAGGGCGGTGGGTCCGGTGCAGTGCAATAGGGCTGGAACAGCAGGGCGCTTGGCCCGGGCGCAGCGGCAGCAGGTGGCGGGCTGGAACAGCAGGGCGGTGGGTCCGGGTGCAGCAGCAGTAAGTAGCGGGCTGGAACGGCAGGGCGGTGGGCCGCGCGGTCGGCGGTGGCCGGCCGTTGCGCTCGGCCGGCGGCCGGCGCCGCTCCGCGCCCCAGTGGCCGCCGATGACGCGGGGTGGGTGGCGTCACCGGCGCGTCACACGCCGCCCGGTGAATGCGACAGCCAAATCAGCGGGTAAGGACCCGCTGGGCCGGTCGGCCGGTACCGTGACCACGACGGGCGGTGGCAGGCGACGCTCTGAAACAAGACGCAACATGAAGCGTTCTATTGGCTTGGCTCTCGGGGGTTCACGGTGCTGGCAAAGCCGACGAGGCCAGACCATCATTATGTGTAGCTATGTCAACAGCAATAACGTTTTAAACTGGAGGTTTGCAAGGGGAATCGGCAGGCCTTCATTTACCAGTTGCGAGGTTATAAGCCGTGATTCGGGAAATGCGCCAATTGTTCACACGCACGTAACGTTTGGTACGGGAAGCAGGACCGCGGCCGGACTTCAACTCGTTCCGTATCCACGTACTGAGACAGACAGCATCAAAAGCGAGAGTTCGTTGGTGTACTGAACTGGTAGGCTAACTCACTTACGGACTCCAGTAACAAAAAAATGACAAACCACAAACATAAATCACATCGTTGATTTACGTTGGTCATCCAAGCCTAATGACTTGGGCGGCCCGTTGCTGGGTGTAACGTCGCCACGCCGCGGCCACTTACGTCACAGACCGCCGCGGCCGAGCCTCCACGCTGTCGCGCTGCCGGTCCGGCCACGAGCGCGGCCGCCCGGCCCGGCCAGACCACGGACCTGGCCTGCCTCACAGGCTTGTGCTGTGGCTGCCGGCTGGTGGACGTAGAGCGGAAGAGTGCTGTGCGCGCGCAGGCGGGTCACAAGTTGAGTCACAGTTAATCCTGTGCGTCCGACCTTTTTAATTGCCGGCCGAACTTGATGCCATTGTTATATCCGCAAAGAGGCCGCCCAAAATGACGGTGACTCGATCATGACATTTGAATATTGTCGACAATTCCGAACTGCGCGTTTGGAGGTGGCCTAATACTGCTATAATCTTGATGTTATTTCCGTTCGCCTGTTATTGTGTTCGCTGGAGAGTTAACGTTGGCATAAATCAGGCGTTTTTTTTTAAATTTAGGGGCTAGTTATGTGGGCTTTTCCAATTTGGGGAGAAACGCGTTTATTTTGCCGCACGACGTCCGCAGATCGTTCGCTGTTTGAGAACCCCTGCGTTATTTGCGTCGGAACATCGCTCTATCCCACTCTCTCGATCCTGGATTCTTCCAGTCTGTGTATTTTGGACTTCAGTCTGTGGGTTCGTGGGGGGACCTCAATGAAAAATATTTCGAATAGATCTTCCGCCTTGTAGAACTTACAGAAGCTAAACCTGTTCATGCATCTGCATACGTCACATCTTATACTTTTCCAAAGTGACGTCAGCACGAGTGCGGGCGCACGACCCGATACGTTGTTGCGCTGCCGCTCCCGGGCACTTTGTGATGCTGTGGTCCGACGGAGCAGACGGATCGGAAGCTGATGACCAACGCCACGACACGGGACATGTGGATACTTCATCCATCTGTGACGTCTCATTGTCCCTTTGACGCTGCACGGTACCGTTGACTTAACACCAGCACTGTGCCTGCTCCGTCTCATTCGGCGTGTTCCTTTCCCCCTGACTGCTTGGGGGGGGGGGGGGGGGGGCTGGATGGGCACCAAAGTGGCGTTGACAGCAGCCGACCACGACATGCGCGCACGTGTCCCGGGCATCTGACGAAGCGACCGCTGGTAAGTGAATGCGGCATTCACTGTTGGCGACCTTCACTACTGTTGGCGACCTTCTACCAGCCATCGTCAGCCTGTTTGCAATCCCGTGCTGCAGGAGTCTTCACAGGGGGGTGGTCTTCAGGAGGATTCGCCACAAAAGGCCGGCCTGCAGGAGGAGGAAGAGGAGTGTGAGGACGGCCGGCCGGTTCTGCTCGGCTCGCTGCTGCTGGAACCGCGCAGTCTCCTGGTGGTGCGACAGGACGCCTACCACAGCGTGCTGCACGGCATCGAGCCCGTTCGCGAGGACACCATCACCCCGACCGTGTACAACGCGGCCGGCCGGCCGACTGGCCAGCGGCTGGTGCGCTCCACGCGGGTCTCCCTCACCATCCGGCACGTGCCCAAGGTGCTGAAGGTCCGGCTGAGACTGTGACGACAGCAGGTCACCGGCGCCCGACGCCGGGCACCTGGTGACGTCCCGTGTACCAGACTTCAAGGTCCGGCTGAGACTGTGACTACAGCAGGTCACCGGCGCCCGACGCCGGGCAGCTGGTGACGTCCCGTGTACCAGACTTCAAGGTCCGGCTGAGACTGTGACGACAGCAGGTCACTGGCGTCCGACGCCGGGCAGCTGATGAAGTCCCCTGTACCAGACTTCAAGGCCTGGCTGCGGCTGTGACTCGGCGGGTTCCGCACCGCATCTGTTGCGTTGTGAAGTCGCTCCGTCGGCGGACAGGTGGAGAAGACAGAATGGGAGGTGGCCCGAGGCATGTCCCTACCTGGCGCGTGCCGATTTGTTCATAGTCACGCGCTGTCCTGAACTCATGGTATTTGAGTTAACCGTGAGTATTGTGTTAGCTCTGTTGGTTGTTGCGTGCCGTATATGACATGCGGATGTATTTTTTAGACAATGCGCACCATTCCTGGATTCCATGTGTAATGCGCGCCCCGGCTTGTGGCTGGCTGGTTTCGGATTTGCATTGAATTGTGTCCGTTGCATTTGCAATAAATGGCGAACGATATTGTGGACCAGCTGCAGAGGACAGCTGAGCACCGCGCACCGAACCCTTCCGAACCCAGCCGAACTGAAGCGTGCCGTGCGGGCCGTAACGGCTGCAGAGGGCAGCTGAGCACCGCGCACCGAGCCTCTCCCAGCCGAACTAAAGCATGCCGTGCGGGCTGTAACAGCTGCAGAGGGCAGCTGAGCACCGCGCACCGAGCCTCTCCCAGCCGAACTAAAGCGTGCCGTGCGGGCCGTAACAGCTGCAGAGGGCAGCTGAGCACCGCGCACCGAATCCTTCCCAGCCGAGCTGAAGTGAGCCGTGCGGGCCGTAACAGCTGCAGAGGGCAGCCGAGTACCGCGCACCGAACCCTTCCCAGCCGAGCTGAAGCGTGCCGTGCGGGCCGTAAGCGCTTCGCCAGACTGATACCATTGTGGACTGCTAATGCTTTGTATACACTTGCAGATATAGCAATGCTCTGGCCGTTGACAAGGTACAAACGCGGGATTCAAGGTCTATGCAAAGTCTCCTCCGGTGTGGCAAATTAATAGTGTATGGCTGTAATTTTTGCAAGTCTTGGGTGAAGCCATTGCAGTTGAGTTGCGATGCAGAGGTATTGCTTACTTTATCTTACGGGTTACAAAAGAAGACACGTTCTCTTTGTGGAGTTTATGAAATTGCCGCCGGAGGAACACGAGTCCAGCCTGATCCCCGTAATTCTAAACGCCTCCATCGGTGTGCGCAACTTACGTGTTGCGCATTGTTCTTCGTGACGTGGTCCTCATAGCGGTTTAGGGCCATCAGTTTTGTAATGGTGTTTCCTTCGGCCAGGTGTACCTTTCTTTCCCCGCACGAAACGAAGTCATACACCGACGTGAAGCTGTATTGAAAAGACCATGGACATGGCGGACATACTATTTGTTGCAACTCTCACATTGACGGCTAACGGTGCGCCTCGACTACGTCTGCCACTCCCTCGAAGATCGTGCAGCCTCTTCCTATCAACTGCACACATGGCAATTCGACGGAGAGATGGTGACGAGTGACTTCACGGTTATTGGTGTAACGGGATCTGCTGATCTCTATAACAACATGTGATGGACACACAGAGAGAAAGAGGGAGAGAGAAAGAGAGAGAGAGGGCGGCAGTACGGCTGGCCGAGGGTGGTGGCGGTGGACGCCGCTGTGGCCGGCGGCTGGGACGCCCTGGCCGATCAGGTCCCCCCTGCCCCGCCCCCACCGGAGGCGACGGTTCGGCGTGGGCGTCCCAGGCCCGTCAGCCTCGGCAGGCGAGGGGTGGAACGCGGCAGCTCTGCGTTAGCGTCGCCTCGGTGTGGTGACCGGCCGCCGCGGCGCCGACCCGAAGCCCCGCGCCACCAACCCCTCACGCGGCCAGCCGCCAGCGGCGTGCAATAAATTAAAGAAATACAATAGTGTATACGACGACGCGGCGCTGCTACCGACTACCGGTCGCGTCCGCCGCGCGCGCGATGCGATGGCACTGGGGCGGGCGAGCGCGCGAGCGCGGCCGCCTAGAAGCCCGGCGTGCCGTACAGGCCGGACGGCTGGCCGGCTGCCGGGAATGCACCGGCGCCGCCGCCGGCGGCCTGGGAGCCGAAGCTGGACGCCTGCGAGCTGGTGACGCCGCTGTTGCCGCCGGCGAAGCTGGACACCTGGTTGAAGCCCTGCTGCTGGACGCCGGCGCCCTGCTGGCGCCCTCCGCCCGCGGACGGCGCTCCGTAGCCGCCGCTCACGCTGCCGCCGCCCCTACCGCCGCTCGCGCTGCCGCCGCCCCTGCCGCCGCCCCGGCCGCCGCCGCCGCCGCTCGTGGGCGCTCCGTAGCCGCTGTTCACGCTGCCACCGCTGCCGCCGTTTCCGAAGCCGTTGCCTCCGCTGCCGCCAGCACCGGACGGCGCGCCGTAGCCGTTGTTGACGCCCCCGCCGTTGCTGCCGCCGCCGCTGCCGCTTCCGCTGCCCGAGGCGTCTGTCTTGCCGATCTCTTCGTTGAGCTGGAAGAAAGACTCGGAGGCGGCGCAGTCGACGTTGTACCACCAGTCGCAGACAAAGTACTTCTGGTTGAAGAGTGTGCCGTTCGGGCACAGGAACGAGTCCATGCGGTTGTCGTAGCAGATGTGGAAGACCTGGACGGTGGAATGACATGACTCATTAGCAAATGCGGACATATGTTTATATTTGATAATCAATATTGGTGACAATTTAATCTTTCAATGATGTATGTTAATGCCAGGCCAGATAACTAGTGCGGATATGTTGGCCTCGGTTATCGGGGCTTCTTAAATTAGTACTGCTTTTGGAGAAAGACATCTGTATGTCATATCCAAGAGATAAGGTCGAGAAATGTCCGCTGGATCTGGGTCCGATCCTCACAGAGAGATAAATGTCTGGCCTGACGGTCTGCTGACGCAGGGCGGCCGTATCACAGGCAAGCAAGGCTAGAAACACATTCCTCCGTGATCCCGACCCGCACAGCAGAGTCCCATCTCCCAGCGGCGTGTCAGCGGCCGTCTCCCAGGGCAGCTGCCTCACCTGGCACAGAGCCGGGTCGTTGATGTCGGCGTAGTAGCCGCCGGTCGAATAGTCCTCGCAAGAGAAGGATGTCTCTGGCACGACGGCCAGGGTCGGGTAGTCCACTCCCGGCTCCCCGCCGCCCGGGATCGTATCCTTCAGGCTGTGCTGGCCGCCGCCGCCCTGACCTCCGCCGCCCTGACCGCCGCCGCCGTTACCTCCGCCGTTGCCTCCGCCGTTTCCGCCGTAACCACCTCGGCCGCCGCCGCCGTTGCCTCCGAAACTGCCCCGGCCGCCGCCGCCGGTGCCTCCAAACCCGCCGTTGCCCCCGCCGCCGTTTCCTCCATATCCCCCGCTGCCGCCGCTGCCTCCGCCGCTGTTGCCTCCATATCCGCCGCTGCCGCCGCTGCCTCCGCCGCTGTTGCCTCCGAAGCCGCCGTTGTTTCCACCGCCGTTTCCTCCGTAACCGCCGTTGCCTGCGCCGCCGCTGCCTCCGTATCCGCCCTGTCCGGCGCCTCCGCCGCCGCCGGTGGTGCCCGTCTGCGGTGCACCGTAGCCGGCCTGGGGCTGCAGCTGGGGGCTGAGGGCCGCGCCCGACTGGGGCGCGCCGTAACTGTAGCCGGCGGTCTGGCGGCCGCGGCGCGCACCGCCCCGCCGCCGGCCTGCGCCCGAGTCGGCCGCGGCCAGCGCCACTGCAACGGTCAGGTTATGTGTGAGCGTCGCTGGTTTACTCTGCCCCTGGTGGGGGCGCTACGGGGCGAGTTACCCGCTTCCTTTACACCATGCTTTAACCACAACCACAGAGGGCTGGAAGCGTCGAGGACGAAATAAGCATGAAATGTGAACGAAGTAACTGGAGACATAAATGTGTTCACCATGTTTATGACACTGTGAATTGTTTGAAACATTTTGCACCGCGAGTCTCGAAGGGCACAGCTGGCGGCTCAATGGGGTGTAAACGACATGTCAGATGACAGTGACCGAAACTCGAAAGTACGTACATAAATTACGGGCAAGACACGACAAAGCTGGACACAGCCTCTGTTTTAACCCCACTGCACGACGCACTACGATGCTGTTGGCTACTGTCCATCCGTCTATCGTGAACTCAGTCAGACTTTTGTGCTCAATGCAGTGAAGAGCACAGGCAAAAGGCGGACGTATTCGGGTACATCGCGGCGGCCGGGCTGACGGTCAGTCGCCGAGCCGCGCGCTGACATCTCCACAGGCCGGGCCAAGCCGCGCTCCGTGAGTCGAGGCCCCAGGGACGACACTGCATCACTGCAGTCACTTGGCGCCTCTTCTGAACCCGCACCAGGCAGTGTCGTCAGGTGTGTTGGGGCTCCAGGGACGACGCTGCATCACTGCAGTCACATGGCGCATCTCCTGAGCCCGCACCAGGCAGTGTCGTCAGGTGTGTTGGGGCTCCAGGGATGACACTGCATCGCTGCGGTCACATGGCGTCTCTCCTAAGCCCGCACCAGGTAGAAGCGTCAGGCGTCGTGTCGGTCGGTGGTCATGGCATCTCGGCCTTGGTCAATTGTTTCACTGGACTTCGAGACTCCGCCACCATCCAGGTTGAGCCGGCAGCACAGTACCGCTCTGGCCAGCGTCGGTCTCCGCCAATGGGAGCGGCGGGGGCGCTGCTGGGCTGGGATGCCCTCACCGACACATTCATCCACTGGGGGGGGGGGGGGGGGGGGGGTGGCGGCCCGGCTGCTGCTGCTGACGTAATGGTCACGGGAGCGGCCAGCCGGAGAGGGATGTGTGAGCGTCGCAGCCCGCGAACAGCCAGCCAGAAAGTGAGGGATCTCATCCATATAAGCTATTGCGCGTAATTAAAACGTCCCCCTTCTCTTCCCATTTGCAGTGCACTAGGTGTAGCACCGACCCCGTTACGCAATTGTGCAACGTCCGTGTTCATACCACTGAAGCAACTTCGAGAACATTGTTTACACCTGGCCGATAGCACGGCGTTTTTTACGATACCGATCGTGCTACACGTGGCGCGTAACAGCCGTGGTCGCATTAGACACGGCCGTCGGATTTACATCATGATTGCGGTCGGCTCATCCAGCGCCATCCGCTGCCACACACCGGCGGTCCACAGCGCGCGGCCACTGGCCCGCGGCGAGACTTCGGCCGTTCGTAACGCGGCAAAGAGTGCCGAGGTTGCCGCATTGCTCGTAAATCTAAACAGTCGCCACCGCCAGTTCACGCAATGTGACTTACGGCGCGCTGGTGCGCCGGGCAGCACACCGCAGGCCGATATCCAGCCACGTGACTGCGAGCGGCAACTGCTAATGAGATACACAGCGCTGTTTGTTGTGCGGCCAGTGCCGAAGAGCGTCCCTCAAGGTCTCGGGGGTGGCGGGCGGCGCGTGGACGATCCTGGTCCCCCGGCGCTGTCCGTGACGGAGCCGCCCGACCGGAGCGGTGCCGTGCGGCGGGCGGCGCGCCCGGCCCGGTGGCGTCACCAGCTCTGTCCGGATCGCCCGGCCCGGAGCCCAGATGGAGCGGATCCGGCGATACGGGGCACGCACGCCGACACGGCCGGGTCGCCGGGGCCAGCGGCGACCTGACCCGGCGATGACCCCGCGGCGCGGCGCGCACGAGCCGGCCCCACACAAAGCCGCGCTCGGCCGGCCGTGGCGGCGGGGGGCGACGGGACGCGTGGCATGTGAGAGCACCGACCGCCCCGATCGCTCACAGACCGACGCCAGGCTCGGCGATCGGGCACAGGCTGACTTATTGGCCTGCGGTTTGGCGTTATCCATCGGAATGACCTAAAGTGCAGACATTAAAGTTGGTTCATAGGCTGGATCGTCAAGTTTCTCTTCCCCAAAATAGCAAAACACCATAGCCTACTAAAAGGCTTGATAAGAAACCAATTTCCGATCACTAAGCCAAAGGAACAGATGGCGAGAGCATGCTTCATAATCACAAACGCATAGGCACAAGCGACGCGGCGTTCATCGGTTTTGCAACTAGACAGCCAAAATGTGCAGCAGCAGAAGCAGCATTTGTTTGCAACAGAAGCACAATACAACACAGTTTGTTTGGTTGCTACAAACATGTTATTTGGGGCCAAAGGGAATGTTGGATGTCATAACGAGAGGCCAAAATAGGAGAAATAATACGATTTCATTAAATGGAGTCATTTAAATTAATTCAATTTTAAATACCATGTGCGTGAGTTCGTCATGTGCGCAGTTATTCCTCATTCTGTAAAGAGTTTGGTACGAAATAAATTGTGTCTCAGATACCATAAGATATATTTTCTTTACTTTCTATTGAAAGGATTTGAATTGATTGTTCATGCGCAACACAGCGCAACTTTGTCAGCATTACTTCAATTTAGTCCGTCAGCGCGAATCATGTACAAACTGCTCGCATGTCATATGTTATGCCGAACCAGCTTGATTTGGTGGCAAGATGAGCGCAGACCTAAGCAGCAAAATAACATTTATGCTTTCGGTGTAGTCATTTCCTCTTTTGGAAGTAAGTGATTAGCAAAGGCCCAGGGCAAAATAGCCTGCAATAAAAAAGAAAAATACTGCATACGAACACCACACTGAACGATGAGAAAAGGAGAAATTTACCAACTCCTTACGGCTGGGAACCATTCACAAAAGACGCAGCGTGAGGGCAAATGTCAGTGACGTGATGCAAATGTCTTGGTCAAATGAGCAGACTCCAATGTCACAGCGCCAAGTTATTGATATCGAGGCCAAAGCTTTCTCACGGATCGAAGCAAATCCTCACCCCCGACGGACCTGCATTCTTCAGGTTGTCAATCACGGGCATCGAAAGGGAACTCTATCCGTTCATTTGGGCGCATCGCTTGCTTCACACGGACGCGATACCCGCCGTACACAATGCACAATTTCGCTTCAAATCGATACGTCCTCCGATGGCGTTCGCTTTTCCAGCATTGTGAGCGCCGGGCACAATGAATCAATTACGCGTGAACAATCCGGCCGCGGGGTGGCCGGGTGACCGGAGGTCAAGGTGAGGGCGGCCAGGGTCGGCCGGCCGGGCGGCCGCTCCCCATCTATCAGCGCGCGGCGCCGGTGATCCGGCTGATTAGGGCCGGCCGGCGCGTGCCGGCCCGGCGCGCGCCGCGAGAGGCTCGTCTCGCCTCGCCTCGGGGTCAGATCGAGCCGCGGCCAGGCGGCTCGGCCCTCGGTCACGTGACCGGCACGCCCAAGCGGCCCGCTCGAACCCCGCCAGCCGGACCATCAGAGCTAAAACGCGTATCCGCCCACTGCGAGAGCGCTTCATAAAGAGCATCATGCGGCGGGGTTCCCCGGCAGGTGTGATGTTATTCCGATTGCGATAGGGCGTGGGAACTGCATTTAAGAATTGGACTTCGAGAGGTGGGAGCTGTGTAAGTATCGTGACACCGAAACCTCACAGATAAACAGGTTTTCGAGACGGGTGTATGCACCAGTGAATTGGATCTCGGGCCATCAACCCCCCCTCCCCCCAACTTGAACCTCAGACCCCCCCCCCAACTTAAGGAAGAAAGTGCGCAAAATCCGGGTAGAAACCTGTTTGTTAGCATATTTTGGGAGTGGGTTGAATCATTGATCACTGTTCAGCCCTCCATTCGTTTTGCGAAACTACGCCCCTGTTTTGACCGATCTCCGGCGTTATACTTTCTTGCAATAATTTTTTCCTGATAATTGCAAGAACATTGTGGCCATCAGAGTGCAGTTTCTAATTCAGTGGTGTAGTGTGTGTGTGTGGAGGGGGGGGGGGGGAGTCTTTGGTTCTCTCCGGAAACTTTGGGAAGAAAGTGGCCACATTTAGAAAGAAAACTTTCTGGCTATTTTAAAGGCAACTTTAACCAATTCACTCTGTTCAGCATCCAACTTATGCGGATCTACGCCCCTGGTAACCATTGATTGAGATTGGGTGCGGCAGAAACTCTTCGTAACGGGGTTTCCCTTTTCTTATATGCACAAGCTGATTCGATAGCATTAATTTTTGCGCAGACATTCTGAGTAAAATATGGAGGAGCATTTAGGAAGTTCCAAAACGGACGAAGCAAAATGAATTCTAAATAGGTCCACGCAATTATTTTGTTACCAACATCAACCTTTCAACCATCAAAAGATGACTGAAACAGCAAATCACGAGTTGACACCCCCTGGAATATGCATCTGGACGTAGCAATTTTCTAAGTCATTTTACATTTTACGTATCAGGTCTTCAAGGAAGGACTAGCATCGTGACGATGCTTTCCAGCATCGCTTCGCTATTGAGATAAGTTTACGACCACGATGCAGGTATCTATACGGAATAACAGAAAGGAGGCTAAACGCCGTTTTATGCCAAATGCGTTACGTGCACAGGCTATTTTCGTGACGTCAGATTTTCACATTCCCTGCTGAGGTCCTGACCCTGGCCTCGGGAGTCCCCACCCTCGAGCCGATTGGTCGGGAGTTGGCACCACACCATCCCAACTACCAACCCCTGCGGAAGTCGGAGCATTCCAAGCCATTCCGCCCCACGGAGGGAGCGAATCAACCGCAGATCATCACCTGGAGACCCAGTGATTGACTTTGGATTGCGGATCGGCTCGGGGGTCCGCCCAGTGGGGGACGCCACCGCCCGCCGATCCGCTGTGGCAATAATGGAGCATTGTCGTCCGTTCGGCGCCCGTTTAACGCTGCTTAGGCAACCGGGCTCGTCTCGCCGCAGACAATGGTGCGTCTCCATTAGTGCGCGACTCGGCCTCCAACGGGCTGTTGAACCAGCGCACGCCGCACCTAGCACAGCGGTAACAGCGGCCTGTTGAGCCAGCGCGCGCCGCACCGCATAGCGGTAGCAGCGGCGTGTTGAACCAGCGCGTGCCGCACCTAGCATAGCGGTAACAGCGGCGTGTTGAACCAGCGCGTGCCGCACCGAGGATAGCGGTAACAGCGGCCAGACACAGCAGCGACGCACCTGGCACCAGCGGCCAGACAGAGTCACGGTACACCTGACACATAGTGATTGCATTATTCCTCGGAGAAAAAACAGGAGGATGGGAGTATAGTTGGGTTAACCCAACCATATTCCAACCTAATAAGGCTATCACTGCTGTCTTATCTATGTGAATATGTTCCTCGCTAACGCACTGAATAACTTAGGGGAGGAACATGTTTGCACATTAAAGGCATGTATAAATGCCGAGCTAAACTACATACACACATGCACGCATACAACGCACGGCGTAAGTGATCACAAGATCCTGCTGCACGTGGCGCCTCCAAGCCCGTCCGAAAGGCAGGGAACGGAAGCTGCCTTAGTTGCTGGGAGATCATCAGATAACGTATGGTAATCACATACCACAGTGACTTCAAAAGGCTCGTTAAATTGAAAGCGAACTGTTAACATGGACAACAGCAAGGCAGTGTAAACAGAGCCCGCGACCCTCATTAACCTCACCAACTTGCAATCTAGGGTAAATCGAATTTAACCTGAGCACGTCAAGGCTAAAAAGATATGTCCGTAGTTTCAGAATTACGGCCGAAAACTCCCAAGGACGTCGGCCCCTGAACCCTGCTTCTAGATCGTGTCCATTCGTGCCAGTAAAAGCGTTCGACGGCGCCTCGGAATGTTCGGGTCAGCCGATTGGTTGTTTGTGTTGTGCGAGACGAACGCGTGACCAGGACAGCGGGCTC